TGTACCTGGACCAAGAAGCAGTTGTTCGAACAGAGTATGGGAACACTAAATGTTTTAAAATTGGGAAAGGTGTGCAACAAGGTTGTGTTCTTTCACCATACTTATTCAACCTGTATGCTGAGCAAATAATCCAAGAAGCTGGGTTCTTTGAAGAAAAACGTGGCATCAGGATTGGAGGACTCATTAACGGCCTATGATATGCAGATGATACAACTTTGCTTGCTGATAGTGAAGAGTACTTGAAACATTTACTGATGCAGATCAAGGAACACAGCCTTCGGTATGAATTGCATCTCAATGTCAAGAAAACAAAGATCCTCACCACTGGACCAATTAACAACCTTCTTATCAACAGAGAAAAGATTTAAGTTGTCAAGGACTTCATTCTTCTTGGATCAACTATCAACATTCGTGGAAGCAGCAGTCAAGAGATCAGACGAAGTATTGCATTAGGCAAATCTGCTGCACAGGAACTTTTTAATGTGTTGAAGAGCAAAGATGTCAGCTTGAGGATTAGGGAGCGCCTGACCCAAGCCAAGGTATTTTCAGTAGCCTCATATGGATGCGAAAGCTGGACAGTGGATAAGGAAGACCGTAGAAGTATTGATGCCTTTGAGTTGTGGTGTTGGAGGAGAATATTAAAAGTGCCATGGACTGCCTAAAGAACCAATAGATTTGTTTTGGAAGAAGTGCAGCCAGAGTGTTCCTTGGAAGCCAAGATGGCTAAACTTCGTCTCTCATACTTTGGACATACTGTCAGGAGGGAACAGTCACTGGAGAAGAATGTCATGCTGGGTAAGATGGAGGGTCAGAGAAAAAGAGGAAGACCCCCAACGAGTTGGATCGGCCAAGTGGCATAATTGATGATGTCAAGTATGGCAGCGGTAGTAAGGTTGGCCCAGGATCGGACAATGTTTCATTCTGCTGTGCATGGGGTCGCTATGAGTTGGTTCCGACTCAGTGGCACCTGACAACAACAGCAATAAACCAAAACTAAGCACTTAGAAAACAGTTACTGCCCCTTTTCCCCTCACGCCTCTGTTAGCTGTAACCACTAATAAACTCTGATCTTTATACATTTGACTTCTGTGATTGACAAGTACAATTATTTGTCTTTTTGTGATTGATGTAATTAACTCAGTATGTTTTCAAGCTCTCTACATATTGTAGCATGTATCAAGACTCCGTTTCTCATAGTAGTGTAGTATTATTTATGTATAGATGTACGTTTTTTTTTTATCCATTTATCTTTCTATAGGCACTTAGGTAATGTCCACCTTTTGACTATTGTGAATAGTCCTTCAATAACATTGATATGCAAGTCTTTGCATCTCTGCTTGCAAGTCTTTTGGTTACATATCTAGGAGTGGAATTTCTAGGTCACATATTCATATTTAACTGAGTCTATTTGAATTATATTGAGTCCCTGGTTTGTGCAAATGGTTAGGACACTCAACTGCTAACTGTAAAATTGAAGGTTTGAGTTTACCACTGGTGCCCCAGAAGGAAGGCCTTGCAATCTACTGAGAAATCAGCTATTGAAAGTCCTGTGCAGTGTAGTTCTACTCTGACACAAACGGGGTTGTCATGAGTTGGAATCTACCCAGTCAGACCACACTGGCTTAACATAGCTACTGAGTCTTCAGATAACATAACGATCCAGATTTGAGTTTGAAATTCACAAGCAGATTCCACAAGACAAAGGTTTAGTTCTGAGTCACATCCAACATACTTATCAACCTGATGTGCCCACAAAACAGGTTTGGTACCACTCAGTTTATTGATGAGTTTATAGAGTCCAGTCAGGTTTATTCACTGGAAATTTTAGTTTAGTTACAAGTGGCTACTTAGCATCAATGTGAGTAAAGAAAAACCATGTTGGTTCTGTGTTCATCAGCGGTTCTGTGTTCATCAGCAGAAGATGCCTAACAGCACTGAGCTGGTACTGGGGCTGGGCTGCACAGCTGTCTGCAATGGGTGCTTGGTTGCAGGTAAGATGGCAGCTGTGGTGACCTGGGCCTGCTGGCCAAGGTCCACAACCCCACCAGTACACCTTAGGTGCCCACAAATCACGTCTCCTTATTCACATTAATTTTGGGGTTTCCTCTTTTTTGAGTTGCTTATTCACATTCACTGCCCATTTTTCTGCTGGGGTTGCTATATTTCTCCTCACTTGAAAGACTTCCTTGTATATTCTAGATATCAATTCCTTGTCAGTTTTAGACATTTCAGTTTGCTTCTTCCATTCCATTAAGTCCATTTTCTTTATCCCTTGTTAAACATAAATTTCTTAATTTTGACTAATCATTTTAAAAAAAACAAACCTTACTGTCAGTTTTAGAAATTACCAGGTGTAGGGTTTGGGTCTAAGGAGCTCTGGTAGCGTAGTGGTTACATATTGGGCTGCAAACCACAAGGTCAGCAGTTCGAAACTACCAGCTGTTCCACAGGAAAAAGATGAGGCTTCCTGTTCCCGTAATGATTTACAGCCTCAGAAACCCTGTACAGGGTTGCTATGGGTCAGAACTGACTCCACGGCACACCACCACCACCACTAGGGTTTGGGTCTAATCAAGAGAAACTACAGTTCTGTCAACAGGGAAAGTTTAATTAAACAACTATGAACTATAACAAGGGATTGGCTAGTTAGAAGTAAAGAAAGAGAACTCTAGGAAATTTAAGGAGCAGCCATTACCCCTAGGGCTGAAGAAGTGTACAAGAGTCACCAGAGATGAGATGCAGACCTTGTTGGAGAAGGTTTGGCTGGCTCACTGGCTTGCAGAGTCACTGTAGTCTCACAATACTTACCAAAGATCCACCTCTAGGGTGCTGGGAAAGGACACTCATAGGAAGGCGATTCACCAGAGGCCCTCTGCTACAAAACCACCTGGGTGTGGGAAGAGGCAGAAGTCTTGGACTACTGGCTGTCATCAATTGCAAAAGCTGGGCCCTGAAGAAGCCTCTTGTGCTGCAGGAGCCACGTCCCGCCATGGCAGTGAGCAGACACACTGCTTGGATTGCTCTCTTTGTTATACCACAATGCTGCTGGTTCAACTTGATTTCTTTACTGGAGTTTTTAGGTTGAAGTGATATTATTAAAATGATATCCTTTTGAAAAATATTTATTAAGTATAAATAAATGTCCTATACATTAAATATCAAGAAATATTCATTATTGATTACAAGTCAGGCTGCAATACTGAAGGAACCACAGAATCAAAATATCCACTCATGAAACAGTAGTGAAAATTTCATTCCAACACTGGACACAGTAAGGACTTGCTCACAAGACACAACAAAACCCATCAAACAAGGTCAACATTTTAACCAACCTATAAACGCCTACCAGCTGTTCCTTGGAAATCCTATTTGGGTCATTATGAGTTGGAACTGACTCGATAGTACTTACCAACAACAACATAATGCTACAACAGAAAATGGTTTTGAATCATAAGATGAACAGTCCCAATGATCTCATCTTATTAATTAATACCTCAGGTCATGTTGAGGTTGTGAAGTTACATTGTCATAAAATTTAATGATACCCATTTCCTTCATTTTATTTCAGATTATTAATGAACGAAAACAAGTCTTACACAGCCAATGATTTTGTTAGTCTTTCATAAGATAAAAGGAATAAAAATTCAGTACAAAGAAAGTAGCGATGAGTCTCTTAACGGAAAAAAAAAGCAAAGTAATTCACTTTCCTTCAAAGAAAGGAAAGAAACCTAAATCTGTTATGGCAAATTTGGAAAGTGATTTCCCAGTCCCCAGAATACATGTTTATTTTACACAATATATTTGAATGACGGAAGTCTATGAAGCAGGAATCTGTGGCAATCCAAATTCATCCACCAACACTCCATCCTGTGGAAGACAAGTCATTTTTAGTGCCACTATTTTTTTTTAAACAGATATAAAATGATTACAAACAATAGTAAAATCTAATTTCCAAGTGTTTATCAATCAAAACCAAAATCCCGTTCAGAAAATGAAAGCTATTTTATGAAAGGTAAATGGGAAGGGATGAATTAGGAAAAGAACTGTAGAGGGTCAAAAAGGTGATTCTTGGCAGAGTAATGGAAAAGTAAAGCAGGTGAAAGAAGGAGAAAAAGAAACGCAGGAGCAAACCTAGAAAGGGCAAAAGGAGGCGGGGGAGTTAAGGGGAAAGGCAGAGTTGTTGATCCTTGCCTCTAGATTTGCATCTTCACAAAGATCTGTAAACTAAATGAAAGATTTTTGTAGCCTCTCAAATCCCTGAAGGAGCTGTACCCGAGGGCAGCACTCACTTCTATTACCATCCTTTACTAAAAATCATAGACAGTGAGAGTACTATCAATCTCAATAGTCCATTTAACTCAGGAAGTAACAGGTACCCCAGGGACTTGCTACTAGGGATTTGAAAAGGTGGATTTGAGAGTGTTAATAAAAAATTTCAGGTATACTAAGAAAAAGTAACTGACACACTTGAAACCTTTAAGTGGTCAGAGAAGGTGGGGATGGGGCTGTGGGTAGGATAGATAAAGGTAAGACTTAAAGAGAAACATAAGATTTCAGGCTTTAAGGAGAAGGGAGGATATAGTAGAAGACCTACATTTATAGAAATTAACTATAAGGGCCCTGAAAATTACTTACTTTATGTACCTTTCCCCCACATTTTATAGGTGGGGAAAACAAACTAGGTTCAGAGATAAAATACGAATTTCTAATATGCTCCAAGTCACACAGTGAATGAAGGCAGAGTAGAAATGGCTCCCATTCAAGGGTTCTTTAGACTTATGCTGTGCACATTTTAAATGATTTGCCCAACGTCTCCTAGCGAGTTAGTGCCGGGGCTGAGACTGATACTCAGCTGTCCTGATTTTACTACCTGGTTGGATCAACATCTTTTTTTTTTAACATCCAACTAGAATTTACTGCTACTTTTGTTACAATTTGTGCTACAAGACATGCCGCATAGGAAATTAAAGCCCTTGAGGAAAATATTCATGGTTTACGGTGTAACTGGTTTTGTTTCTTCTTTGGGATGACGGTGAGAGATGGCATCTAGTGAGACTGAAGGCAGAGGATCAGAATCTTTTTACACTAAGTTTTATTCTAAATTGTTAATCCCTATAATTTAACTGGAGTCCTAGTGTGGTGCTACAGGATAAGCAATGGAATGCTAAGCTCAATGTTGGCAGTTCAAACCCACCAGCTGCTTTTGGAAATCCTATACAGGTTCTTTACAAGTTAGAACCAACTCCAAGGCACTTAATAACAGCAACATAATCTAACTAATGAGTCTGGGCAGTGTGACTTGATTTTACACTGCCATCTGGCTCATGCATGCTCTTCTGATACTTTCCCAGGAAATGAAAAACAGACAAATGGCACCCAGTGGAAACTCACAAGAGTGAATTTGCATATTGTACCAATGATCATTGTATAACAACATTCCTGGGCCTCAGTGAATCCAATACAGAAAAGGCTGGGTTTTCACAGGGTCCCCAAAACAATGGCCGAGACTGTCTTTCCACGTTGTAACTCAAGACTAATTCTTAGGCTCCTAAACTGGTGGTCAAGCATAAACCTTAATCATTTTGCAAAGAAAATACTCGTACATACAGAAAAGAGCTCTCACCTTATTCTTTGCATCAGAGGGCACACCTTCAGGAATCGCAGGTGCAGATGCTGCTTCATCCAAATACGAGCTGTCTTCATCAGCCAACAGCTCATCACCCAGTGCATCCAATTCTGAGATTGACACAATCAACATTTCAAAACTAATGTAAGCAAGAGAACTGGCAGCTAATGTGAAGAAAGTTAGATGTTATTTACAGCAAGATAAAAATTTAAATATAAAAATAAAGGAACTATTCATTCCTATTTTCAAAATCAAAGATGACTATTATATGAAAATGTCAAAGGAACTAGTATGGTGAAATCTCTGGCGGGAGGGGGGAATACAAAGATCAAAATGAAACAAACAAACAAAACCACCAACCCCCACAGGTTTACAAGGCCCTTGGTTTCATTAGAAGCTTCCAGGGTTATTAGTTAGCCAATTCAAACTAAGAAATTCGGACTCTAACAAATAGAAGAAATTCTCTCTCAATTCTTGATGAACTTGAAAGCAGGAAGGTACAGGAGGCTTGAGATGGCTATGAACTGTGTGGCTATATCACTGCATGAAATCAGTTCTAAAAAGAAGTCCAGGGATCAGTAAGTTGGAGTGGCTGGAGGAATGACATTACCAGGTTTCCCTTAAACTAAAAATGTGCCATTTTTAGTTTCATTCACTGCCATCGAGTCCATTCTGATTCATAGTGCTGCTATACAGTTTCTGAGGCTGCAGAACTTCGTGGTAGTTTTTATTGCTAAGTGCTGTCTTTATAGCAAAGATTTACTGTAAAGATTTATAGAACTGTAAATCTTTACAGGAGCAGAAAGCCTCATCTTTTTCCCATGGGGCAGCTGGTGGGTTTGAACCGCAGACCTTGTGATTAAGAGTCCAATACTTACCCTACAGCGCCACCAGGGCTCCTATTTTTAGTTTGTTGCTATTGTTGTTAAGTGCCGTTGAGTCAGCGCTGACGCATAGCAATCCTGTATAGGGTTTTTGAGTAGTGGCTGCTCGGTTTGAACCACTGATTTTGTGGTTAGTAATCCAAAGTTTATTCTACAGTGCCCACTTGGGAAAAAGGAGCAGGGGTGGGGAGCAGAGAATTCTAGGCAGAAACATACCATGGAGACAGAAAAGAGCAGTACTATGGCAGAATCACGCAACAGAAAATCTAGTGATACTCATACTAGAAATTGACAGCCAACCTGGTCTTTCCTTCTTCCACCTTCAGTCAAATAAGTTTTACCCACTCAAACTCTGAAACACTTCTTGAATCTGCCTATTCCGTTTCTGCTACCACCACCGTAGTCTCAGCCACCATCACCTTCTACATGAACTATAGCAGTAACTTCTAGACTCCTCTTCCTAAGGCCACTTAACCATCTCCATTTTTCATCCTTTCATGTCTTAGGCTAAACGTATCTTCCTCAAGAAAATGGCCCATGCATTCTCCTCACCCCCAACCAGGTTAGATTTCTGTTTCGTGCTCCCAGGGTATTTCATACTTACCCTTCTTAATACTTTTTGTTCTTGTAATTAATTACAATTAGTTACTTGAAGCAAACTATTTTCTCACCCTTGCTAGAGGAAAAGCTTCATGAATGCAGAAGTCATATGTTGTTTCAATGTGGAATCTCCAGCACAAAGCATAGTACCTGGCATATAGTAATAGTAGATGCACACTAAGTATTTGCCAACTATAGTTTCTTGGTCTGCTTCTGTTTTGAGGGAGAGGACTCCAAGTAGGAAAACAGGGAAAATAAATGCAAAAGGAAACAGCAGGGTAAGAAAGTGTAGATGACATAGTAGATATCAAGCTCTAGGGGCCTTTGCCTAGCTAGACCTTCGTTTGGAGTTTGTCCATCCCAGAGCTGCTGGTGAAGCGTACGCTCCGATGTGCCTGCGTCATGATCTCTTTGCTTAAAGATTATACCACAAAATCACTTCCCGGGAACACTCATAAGAATTTCCCATAGCATTTGGGCAAAGCATCCAGGCAGTTACAATTTTCCGCCTCTAAAGCTCGGCATATACTGCTTTTCCTATAACTTACCTGCTTCTAGGTCATCTTCATCTAATTCTGGGGTGCCGTAACTACGACTCAGGGCTTCCTGGATTTCATTGGCATCTTCCATCATATCCTCCAGCTGGTCTTGTAGATCCTATAGAAATACATGTGGCAGGGTTTTCATTGATTTCCTACTCTCGCCTCATAATCTTAGTAATGAATAATTTTAGAAAGATATGGCATATGATATGCCTGGCACATAACTGGGACCACTAATAGCCATATCTCATAAGACTACTGTACGGATTTATTATAACAATATACATAAACACCAAACATTTTATAAGCATTATTATTACTTCTATTATGATAAGAATGTACAGAACAACAATATGCTCTTCTTCTACCGAAACCCCAAATAGAAGGGGAAAGATTAAGACAGAAGGTCCAAATCAGCAGCACCTTTCTCCTTTGAATTTCTAGAGCAACATAAAATATTTGACAGCTTGTTCCTGGCCCTGAATCACAGTATGCTTGTTTTTCAAAAAAAGAGAAAAGGATAGAAGCAAAAGTCTTGTTTTTCTTGCATTTTCAACTACTAATCTCCTACAATGTACACACATTTAACATTCTGCGATCCTGAGAAGCACAGGCTGAATTTTAAAAGAGGTGAAAATAGCATCAAGTAAGCTAAACAAGTCAACTTATGTTATATTATTACATATCAAGACAGATCTCCCCAAATCACAAGTAAATAGGATTTTTAGCAAAAGACTCTAAGACAAACACAGGGGGAAAAATCATATACACAAAGAGTTAGTTGGTTCAATATGGAAACAAATAACAAGGACTAAAGTAGAAACAACAGTGATGCGCAGAAACTGAAAAATAAAATAGAACAGAAAACACAGACACAAATGAGACCTATGAAAGGATGAGACTGGTTTACAAATAAAACATTTTAGGAAAACAAATCTAATAAATGGAATTCAAAATATACAACCCAACCAAAAGATGAAATTACAAGACAGTCACATATACACACTAAGAATTGGAGACGGGTTCTCCACCTGCTATTCTGGCAAACTATCTGGGAGGGACAGAAAAGGATAATTAGGCAAGGAGACAACCATAAGTGGAAGATGGAAAAACATATAAGAACCAGTAAGACCAAAGTTTTTATTTTGTTCATATTAAATAACTCTAAATAAAATACAGAGAACCCTAAGAAACTAAAATTCTATCTCATATTTTATTACTAAATGATACTATACAAACAAGTACACACAGACATTATTTTTAGTGAATCTCCTGAAAAACATCACTGAAGTTAATTCCACGTAAGAGGAGACTAGAAAACAGCCAAGGACAGTCTAAGGAGGTACTGGGAAAAAAAAAAAAAAAAAAAAAAAGTCTGGGTAAAACAGCAAATGTTTTCTCTCCTGTTAAAGACTGCAGCACTGGCAGGGATACCTCTGTAGAGGCAAAAAGATACCCAAAGCCACAGTAAGTGCTCATCCAACAAACACTGCTTGAATCCCACAGCACTGATTTCATTTAACAGCCTCTTGTTCATTAATTCACCAAGCAACAAATTACGTATTTTCACATGCAACACGCTCAAGCACTAACATGTATAAGAGACTAAAGCATGAAGGGGTTGTTTAGTTTGTAAAAACCATATAATGAGCATGCTATTTGCATAAAATATGGGACTTTCTGAGCGAGCTAGTCACTGGGGGATACAACACTGATTCCCTGCCCTCAAGGAAAGACACATTCTAGTCAACAGGATAGAGGTAAAGAGCACTATCAAATATGCAGAAAGGATACCTCTTTCCACCAGCCAGGCCCCACTCATCACATTCACCACACAGAGCAGAGAGCAACGAAGCTCTTAGGATTCACCTCCCCAATCAGGAAATGCTAATATGAAAGACCAAGGGACACTGTTATTAAAAAGAACCAACTCTACACCAGATAGGCAGATACCCTCATTTACCAACTCATGACAGTCATAGCATCACTAGTTTATAACTGAGGAAACAAATGAAAAATCATTGAGTTGGAGACAAACAGCAAACATTTATTAGGTGCTTATTTTGTACACTTACACAGATGAGCTCATTTATTCCATCTTCTCACTGAATAGTGCGCTACCTATGAACCTGGCATTTGAGGAAACTGAGACCTCAGGCACCATTTCCTAAAGTTACTCTACTAGTAAACGGCAGGTCAGAGATTTAATCCTTCATCTGTGCTCTTCCCATCACACTCCTGTGGATTCTTTTAGAAATTAGGACATATCTCACCTCAATCTGGTCAACTTTCACTTGCTTGTATGCTTTTTTCATTTCTTTTACTCCCAGTTTCATAGCGTCAACCTAAAAGAAAAGATCAAAGAAAACAGTGTCTTAAAAAGACAAGTTTAGTCGTCTGTCTTCTAAATACTGCAGGAAAAAAACAAAAATAACACTTCAAAAGACCAATCATGGGGAAAGGTGATTTGAGAGTACCGTGGTCTTGGTGTCCTTCAGAGACTGGATGGTGTAATTGGCTTGCTCCATGTTATATGACTGCTGGGAGAGATTGTCCCGCTGCTGCTCGTACCTTTATGGAGTCAGTTGAGAACAGTAAATGTAAACCAGAGAAAGGAGTTCTAACACTAATGAGAGAATTTCAAGGGAAAAAAAACCACTCCATAAACCTTAAAGCAATTATACTGGCAAAAAACCCCAACAATTTAATCACCCTAACAGCACTTTACAACAACAACAACATGGAGTCCTGGTGTGGTGCTGTAGTATAAGCTCTGACTGGACTGCAGGGTCAATTTGAACCACAAGGTCAGTGGTTCAAACCTACCAGCCGCTCCTTGGAAACCCTATACAGGGCCACTCTGAGTCAGAACAGACTCAACAGCACTTAACAACAGCAACAATATATTGTTTTATATGTTCTCCTCCAAGTTTTGTGCCAACTTGGCTAGGCCAGGATTCTTAGTGGTTTGGCAGTTAAGACCTAGTAATTCCTCATGGTAAGATCTGTTATGAGCAGCCGGTCAATTGAAGGGAAGCTTCCTTGTTGGTAAGATCTGCTCTTAGTATATGTAGCCGCTGTGAAAGCTGCCTTGCTTTTGGCTGGGTCTCGATTCTGTATTTGGCTCATCAACTGACCTGCGATTCGTTGAAGTCAGCCAGTGTGCTAATCCTGGGAGTTGTTAGCAGCCTATCAGCTTATCTGCTGATCTTGGATTCATTCGCCTCTGCAGCCAATGGTCTGTTATATGAATTTGTGTTCATTAGCCCCTATATCTATGTGAGTCAGGAGAAGCCTCCAGCCTGATACCTGATCCTTGGACTTGGTACTTGCCCACCTTTATAAATATGTGACTAATATCCTTGATACAAAGTCCCTCTCATCTCCCTCTCTACATATGGGAGCATGGTGGTTCTCTCTACACTGGACTACGAACCACAAGATCCATGGTTTGAGCCTGCTAACTGCTCCATGGAAAAAAGATGAGGCTTTCTGCTCCCTCAAAGATTTAAAGCCTTGAAAACCATATAAAGGGTCACTATGAGTTGGAAGTGACGTGATGGCACTTAACAATAAATAATACATACGCACAGGTTTTGCTCCTGTAGAGAATCCAGCCTAAAACAGTATGTATTTTAGTTATAACACTGTTTTACCATTTGCTTTTTTTCTATGTTGCAACATAATCTGACTTGGAATATGACTTTATAAAGTTTAGATGATTTCCTTATAATAAATTCCTTGAAGTGAGATTATTGGGGTGTAGGGTCCTGGTGTGGTGTTATGGGTCAATGCATTGGACTGCAAAGTCGGTTTGAACTGTAAGGTTGGTGGGTCAAGCTCACCAGCTGCTCCTCAGAAATCCTATACAGGGTCGCTATGGGTTGGAACCGACTTGATGGCACATAACAACAACAAAAAGGGTAAAATTATTTCTTAAAATATTTTGGGTGAAAGTGTACCAAAATTGTGTACCTAGAAAAACAGGCTCCTGTTCAACAATTTCTACACATATTGTACTCCTCATGTATACATTCAGGAATGAGGTGGCTCTAGAGGATAAGCAGTGGACTGTGAGCCATAGGGCAGGCAGTTTAAGCCCACCAGTCATTCTGAGGGAGGAAGACGAAGCTTTCTGTTCCTGTAAAGATTTAGAGCATCAGATACTCTATCAAGAGTTGTAACTGACTTCATGGCACTTAACAACAACAACAACATCCCAGAGGACAGAGTAGAGTTGCCCCACAGGGTTTCCAAGGCTGTAATCTTTACAAAAGCACACGGCCACATCTTTGTCCTGTGAAGCTACTGGTAAGCTCGAACCATCGACCTTTTGGTTAGCAGCTGAGAGCTTAATTACTACACCAGCAGGATTCTTTGACTCTAGACTGAGTAAGTGGTACATAGAAACTGCCATTGCGGAAACTGTATATAGATGCTGGTGTGATAAAATATAAACAACTGTAAAATATTATTCAATTCACTATAACTTTTTATACAGTTATGTGGTTTCTCAAAAGACATTAAAAATACAACATATGGGGAAAAATTCCTAAGTATTATTGTTTAGATTCCTCATATTGTAGGGTAAGACTATTTTTAAGGCTCCAAATACATAGTACATACTGAGAAAGCTGAGCTGCTTTTTTAGTATGTACTCTTGCTGGCTCCTATCAGACTCCACATGATCTCTAGAACCCTGCAGAGGATCTCAGCTGGTCAGCCTACAGGGGTAAGCATCAAAGATACTATTTGGCTTCTGTTCAAGCATCAAGATATGTTGTTGTTGTGTTAAGTGCCGTCAAGTCATTCTGACTCACAGCAACCCTGTCTAGGGTTTCCCTGGAGCGGCTGGTGGGTTTGAACTGTTGACTGTGAGGTTCTAACCAACCTGCAGTTTAGTGCATTGTCCTGCAGCACCACACCAGGGCTCCATCAGGACATACGGACATAAAGCAAATGAAGGACCTTTAGATCTATTATGGTGATGACAACATATATTCAGGATTCCTAACTTGAAAAAAAGCAAAGTAGGTACACGCTTAATGGGAGAACCACACTCTATAGGTCTGATCAATCCAAAAAGATAGCTATTAGCTGCATATGATGACTTAAATTTACATAGCTAAAAGGAAATAAAGTTTAAAATCCATTTCTTTAGTCACACTAGTCATATTTCAAGTACTTAATAGCTGTGTGTGACTAGTAACTAACGGATTGGGCACCACAGACATATAGAATATCTCCTACATCACAAGATGGTCTATTGGATGGCACTGCAGGATAATGCACTGGACCACAAGGTTGGCGGTTCAAACCCACCAGCTGCTCCTTGAAAACCCTGTACAGGGTCGCTATGAGTTGGAACTGACTTGAAGGCACTTAACACAACAAAACAACAGATGTTGCTGAACATGCAAGGCGAAAACAACATCCCCTACCCTTTCCCTATTTGCAATTAAATCAAGAATGCTTATTAAGTGATATGGAAACCTAAAGGAATAAAAGACAATTTTTTCCCTCTTTGGTTAAACCTGAAAGAGAGAAGGATATTACGCTCATAACTTACATCCGCTTTTGCTTTAAGACCCGCAAGGCTTTCTGCTTGACCATATTCTAGGGGGAAAAACAGATTTTAATGAAAAGAAACAGAAAAAATATATATATAATAAAAGAAATCTCTTATACCCCCAAACTCACATATCTATAGATTTTCTCCTGGTTTCTGGTCTTCCCCTCCCAAGCACAGATGTCTTAAGATCAAGTCTTGAAGCCTTAGCATGTGTCTTTACATCCTACATCTCAGTACAGTTAACTTCTTTACCTTTCCCCAACGAACATCTTCACTCCCTGGCCTAACAGTACCCATTCTGGATGGCTAGCTGCTTCAGGGGGGTTCCCCACTTTGGACATCAGTTATCAAGTCAAAACACATCATGCTCAAACTCCTCAATCTGTTCTTACTTTAAAAATGACTAACAATGGCCACCCAAGGTGCTCCCATCTCCAAGTTGAGAACCTTTCCATCAACATTACCTTTTCCCTCTGCTGTCTGCCATGCACAGTCACTCCATTAACGATTTTCAGAACTCACTTTCAAATTGACCTTTTATCCTCATTCTCATGACTACCACCACAGTTTGAACTCTCACCACAAACCTAGGTGGCCTCTTCTGCTTCTGGTCACCCTTCAATTCAAATCATCCAATTAAGATGGCTAGAAAAAACCTCACCCACTCCCCTTTCTATATTTCTATACATCAGTTTTTTTCCATCTCCTCCAAAAAGGAAGGAAAAGCAGGTAATACTTTCAGATGATAATAAATACATTTACTGAGTATTATGTGCTATGCAGGTCACATGAATTACCTTATTTAATTCTTACCCTATGAAGTAGATATTAACTCCATTTTTCCAGATGGGATACAGGCTCAGTGAGGTTAAATAACCTGCTCCAGGTCACAAGACTAATAAGTTACAGAGCTTAGAAAGATCAAGGTAGTTCTTTACCCACAATCCATACACTTAAATACAGTACACAATATTCCTACCTAATAGAAGAAAATAACAGGTAGCTGATTTTATCAAGGTCATAGCTCATAGGTAGTAATGAAATACTATTTTCCTAGTTCAGTGATTTCCCCCAATATGCCACTGAACCTCCTTAACCAGTCTGTTGTACTTATCTGGCCTGACTAGCTGGCCCAACCCCATTACTCAGATTGCCAGCTCCTCAGCAGAAGATGCTAATTCTCAGGTACACACTTCTGGACATACAATCAGAATCTTTTTTTTCACTAGTCCAAACCTCCTTCCCCATCTGGCTCCTTAAGGATACACCCCTTACATAGGTTTTGTCCTTACCAGACTGTGAGCATCTCTCTTGTATCTCTCATCAGCCCCCACCATCAGGCCCTATTTCTATTGGAGGCTCACATTACACTGCCATAGCACATTCTGAAGCAGCTGCCATTTGCCTTACCTTTGTGGGACCCTCTCTCATTTTCTTGATCTGATCTTTATACTTCACTAGTTCAGCATCCAGTCGAGAAATCTTTTTGTCAATGGATTCTGCCCTGCTATCCACCTTGAGGGGGAAAAAAAACCAGAGGCAGTGGTAATTATTGCAAGACACCAACATGGGAAGGGGCAGAAAAAAGAATATGGAAGAAAAGCCTGTGGTAGAGTACAAGACAGTGATTCCCAAAAGTGGGGGGAGGGTTTCAACAGAAACACCTGGAGACGTTTACAAACTATATACCACTTCCAGATACTGATGTTCCAGGGTGTCTTGAGGCAGAAAAATCATCTGAGAATCACTACGCTGAGCAGGAGAAAGATGAAGCTTTCTGCTCCCGCAAAGATTTACAGCCTAGAAAACCCTATATAGAGTCGCTAAGTCAGCACTTAAAAACTGAGTTGAGGCTTCCCTGGAAGGGAGACTAGGCATGCCAGGGGCTCAATCAGATGGGAGTGTGAAATAGGCTAATGGCAGTGGACCCCCACAAGGGTTATAGATCTTACGGCATTTCCTAAGCAGGAGATGGGTGGTTAAAGCGAGAGGTCAGGGTTCTGAATTTTGTTAATGAGTTCCAGGTAATGTAGACATAGAATATCAAGTTGAAAGTCTTGAGGTGGGCGAGGTCATAGGTTCCCAGGGCTAGAAGCAAGAGGTCGGACTGGAAGAAATAAGCGAGTATGGGCCCAGAGCTGGGTGGGGTGAGGAGATTAAGGCGAGAGCAAGTGGATGAGACAGTGGACATCAGAATGGCATGGGTACAGTTAGTGAGGGGTAAGGAGTCCCTTGTTTGCGGCTTCAGGCATGACCTGGGTAACAGGGGTGTTGGGCCAAAGGTAGGGTGGAGAGGGGAAGATGTAATGGGCCCGGGGCCGGGAATTGGAATCAGCAGTAGGAGCCGGGAGTGAGGAGTGGGCAGGGTCAGGGGTGCCCAGCGACCCAGAACCGAGTTAGGCTGGTCGAGTGCCCACCGTGCCAATGCAGTCAGTCAGGCTGGGAGGCGGAGCCTTGGGTTTTGCTTTTCCGAAGAATCGGTTCATCTTGTACGGCCTAGAAGAAACCCAAACACTGGATCAAAATCAGAAACGGAAATAAAGTCGCCCTTCCCTCCACCCTGACTTCCGGCCCCCCCGCCATGCGCAAGCGCAATATGCCCTTTGGAGTTTCCCGATCTTTTTTCCGGGTTTTCAGTTCAGCCTTCCGGAGAAGGAAAGAAGGAGGAGGGAGACAGTGGTGGGCGGGGCCATGGGACGTGGGTGGGGCGAGGCTTCAGAAGAGCAAGGGGGAGGAGAGAGGGCCTCTATTTGAATGGGTGGGGCCTGGAGGCGGATAGGGCGGGGCCTGACCTAGGGGTGGGCCCATCAGAACGGGGCGGGGCCGGGGAGCCACTGTGCGGGATTGAGAGTCACGGCAATCAGCTCCCGCCAGCGAGCGGTCGAGAAGCGCCGGCCTGGCGGAACGCGGCGGCGGGCGAAGACCGCGAGGCCACGGGGAGCGGCCGGGTCTCCGGCGGCGCGCCCTTCGGCCAGGCCGGGAGTCGCGCCAGGCTGAACCCCCGGCCGACTGCAAGCCACCCGGGTCTCAGCGTAGGTCCGTACGGAGCAAGGCCAGCGGACATGACCGATCCACCAGGGGCTCCGCCACCGCCACCGGCGCCCGCAGGCCGCGGGTGAAGAAGAAAGTACAAGTCCTCACAGCCAGGAGCGACGAGATGGCCAAGAACAAGGAGATGGCCGGGAGCGAGATGGCCCGGGGTGAGGAGATGACCCAGAGTGAGGAGACGGCCTGGAACGAGGAGACAACCAAGAACGTGGAGACGACCCCGAGCGAGGAAACAGTGACCGAAAGTGACGAAATGGCGGCGACCGGGCTCGATGTGACTGTCACCCACAGTGAGCGCCGGGTGGGCGCCGGGCCCCATTTTAAGGAGCTGGTCCAGCTTGTGGGTTGGCCTTATGTCTTCCGGAAGCATGTGTACATGTGTTTTTCCTGGCTTCCGGAAGTGTGGGTTCTTGGCTGGTCCACATCTTGAGTCTGCACTCCTTTCCTTGTGGCCGGTGTATGTATTCTGTCTCTGGCCACATGTCTGATCTGGTGTGTTCTAGTGGGTCTTATGTGTGTTGGTGTGTACCCGCACAGCCATGTGGGTCTGTTTCAAACCTTTATTTGGCAGTATTGAATACGATTGCCGTGTTTGGACACCTGTGTGATGAATCTGGACGCCATGGCCGGCTGGTGCTTATTAGCATACGTACTCTCTGGGCACCCTCAAGTAGCTCTGCCTACTGTTTGGGCTGACAAGTAAACAGTCAGTTAAACCTAACTTTGAACTGAATTCCTGACGTTCCCTCACAACCAGGGAGGGGAAACCCCACGCCTCAGAATCTAGAGTCCTGCAGTTTTGAGTAACCTTGGAATTCCTCCTCTGTAAAGTAGGGTTGGTAACCTTTGCCATCCCCTCCACCTCCCTGGGCTCAAGGCTTGGTGTAATGCACTGGATACAGGCTACTTCCTTCCTGCCCACAGACCCAGAAAATCACTGACACTTCAAAGTTCATTTGCAGTTATTCATTCATTTATTAGTCCATAGGATAAGCATTCGAGGTCCATTTCAACTGCAAGGTCTGTGGTTCAAACTCATCAGCCGCTACTCAGTAACCCTACACAGGGTAGCTATGAATCGAAATCGACTCGATGGCACACAACAACATGTGGTAGGTGTGTGCAGTGGGGGAGACGTGGAGGAATAGCAGTCCCTTGTCCATTATTGGGAGGGGAGTTATTGGGTACAGGACAGTGAGGCAGAATGACTTGTGATGACAAGCATGGCCTTTGGTATTAAGTAGACTTGGAGTCAAGGTCTGACTTCACCAGTCGTGGTTGGTTGAGTCTCCATAGACAGGTCCTTAACTGGATTAAAACACTGCTTATTTGTGAAATGGGTAATAATAGTACCTACTTCATGGAGTTGTTCTGGTTAAATCATGTAATAACTATTATAGCCCCATATGCATTTGATAAGGAACCCTGGTGGCCCAGTAATTAAGTGCTGGACTACTAACTGGAAGGTTGGCAGTTTGAACCCACTAGCTGCTCCATGGGAGAAAGATACGGCAGTCTGTTTTTATGAAGATTGCAGCCTTGGAAATCCTATGAGTCAGTTCTGTTAGTTATAGTAGTAATAGTAAACTCCTGAGTGGTACAGATTGTTCATGTGCTCAGCTGCTACCCAAAAGTTTGGAGGTTTGAGTCCATCAAGAGACACCTCAAGAAAAAAGACTTGGCGAATACTGAAAAGTCAACCATTGAAAACCTTTTGGAGTACAGTTCTACTCTAATACACATGGGGTTACCATGAGTTTAACTGGTAAAATGATTATAAAGGAAACAAAAATCCTTGAGCAGGTCATCAAAAGAAAACTGGGTAGATAGAAACAGGCCCTTCATTGTAGGTGGTATATGAGTTAAGACTGGGTTGTTGTTATTAGGTGCCGTCAGTACCGTCCCGTAGCGACTTTATGCACAGCAGAACGAAACACTGCCCGATCCTGGGCCAACTTCACTACTGTTGCCACGTTTAAGCCCATCAATGCTGCCACTTGGCCAGTCCATCTCGTTGGGGGTCTTCCTCTTTATCTCAGACCCTCCATCTTACCAAACATGATATCCTTCTCTAGTGACTGGTCCCTCCTGACAATATGTCCAAAGTATGAGAGACGAAGTTTGGACATCTTGATCTCCAAGGAGCACTCTGGCTGCACGTCTTCCAAAACAGATCTATTGGTTCTTTTGGCAGTCCATGGCACTTTCAATATTCTCCTCCAACACCATAACTCCAAAGCATCAATTCTTCTACGGTTTTCCTTATTCACTGTCCAGCCTTTGCATGCATATGAGGTTATTGAAAATATCATGGCTTGGTTCAGGTGTACCATAGTCTTCAAGCTGACATCTTTGTTCTTCAACATTTTCAAAAGGTCTTGTGCAGCAGATTTGCCTAATGCAATATGTCATTTGATTTCTTGACTGCTGCTTCCGTGAGTATTGATAGTTGATCCGAGAAGAATGAAGTCCTTGATAACTTCAATCTTTTCTCCGTTGATAAGAATGCTGTTTATTGGTCCAGTGGTGAGAAATTTTGTTTTCTTGACATTGAAATGTAATCCATACCGAACGCTGTGCTGTTTGATCTTCATCAGTAAATGTTTTAAGACCTCTTCACTTTCAGCAAGCAAAGTTGTATCACCTGCATGTCGCAGTTTGTTAATGAGTCTTCCTCCAATCCTGATGCCACGTTTTTCTTCATAGAACCCAGCTTCTCATGTTATTTGCTCAGCATACAGGTTGAATAAGTATGGTGAAAGAATAACAACCTTGCCACACACCTTTTTTAATTTTAAACCATTCAGTGTTCCCATGTTCTGTTCATGGGAACTGCCTCTTGGTCCAGGTACAGATTCCTCATAAGCACAATTAAGTGTTCCAGAATATTCATACTTCACAATGTTGTCCATTGTGCTTGTCATTATCCACACAATTGAAAGCCTTCGTGTAGTCAATATAGCACAGGTAAACATCTTTCTGATATTCTTTGCTTTCAGCCAAGATCCATTGGACATCAGCAAGGATATCCCTTGTTCTGCGGTCTCTTCTGAATCTGGCTTGAACCTCTGGAAGTTCTCTGTCAATGTATGATTGTAGCCATTTCTGTATTACCTTTAGAAAAACTTTACTTGCATGAGGTATCAAAGACATTGTCCGATGATTTCCGCATCACGTTGGGTCACCTCTCTTTGGAATGGACACAAATACGGATCTCTTCCAATCAGTCAGCCATATAGTTGTCCTCCAAATTTCTTGGCAGAGATGAGTGAGTGAGTACCTCCTGTGCCACCTCACTTTCTTGAAAGATTTCAATTTTGATTCCATCAATTACTGGTGCCTTGTTCTTTGCCAATTCCTTCAATGTACCTTGGACTTTCTCCTTCAGTGTCATTGGCTCTTGATCATATTCTACCTCTTGAAGTGGTTGAACATTAACCATTTCCTTTTGGTACAGTGACTCTGTATTCCTTCCATCTTCTCTTGATGCTTTCTGCATCATTCAATAATTTACCCAGAGAATCTTTCAATAACGAAAGTCGAGGCTTGACTTTTTTCTTTAGTTATGCCATCTTGAAAAATGCTGAGCGTGTTCTTCCCTTTTGGTTTTTTGATTCCAGATCTTTGTACATTTTGTTGTAGTATTTGGCTTTATCTTCTTGTGCTGATCTTTGAAATTTTCTGTTCAGCTCTTGGACCTCCTCAGTTCTTCCATTTGCTTTAGCATCTCTATGCTGGAGAGCAAGTTTCAGTGTCTCTTTTGGCATCCATTTGGACCTTTTCCTTGTCTTCTCAATGACTTTTTGCTTTCTTTATGTATGATGTTGTTGATGTCATCCCACAACTCTTCTGGTCTTCAGTCTTTGGTGTTTAATATATCTAATCTGTTCTTCAGATGATCTCTAAATTAAGGTGGGATGTATTCAAGATAATATTTTGGCTCTCGTGGACTTGTTTTCATTTTCTTCAGCTTCAGTTTGAATTTGCATATGAGTAATTGATAGTCTGTTCCACAGTCTGCCCCTGGCCTTGTTTTCATTGATGATATGAAGCTTTTCCATTAAGACTGGGTAAATGAGTGTAATCAAGCATCAGTTTATATTGATCACATGGAGAAGTTGTCTTCACTGAATGCTTTTCTTTCTCCCGAGGTAATGAGAAGTATGACCTTCATGTTACCCCACAGCAGGGCACTGGTGAACCAGTTGTCCAAGACCTGGCCCAGCTTGTTGAAGAAGCCACAGGGGTTCTGCTGCCTTTTCAGAAACTCATATTTAAGGGTAGGTATTTCTCATATTTGGAGTCCTGGTATGGCACTATGGGCTAATACCCTGGACCGCAAAGTTAGTTTGAACTGCAAGGTTGGCGTTTTAAGCTCACCAGCCACCCCTCAGAAACCTTATACAGGGTTGCTATGAGTCAGAACCAACTCGCTGGCATTTAACAACAACAAATTTCTCTTGTAAGGAGCTCTGGTAGCATAGTGGATTACAAATTAGGCTGCTTACCTCAAGTTTAGTAGTTCAAATCTACCGGTGGTTTTGCATTAGAAAGATAAAGCTTTCTGCTCCCGTAAAGTTTTACAGCCTTGGAAACCCTATTGTTTGGCACCTTCTACTTGGTGTGGTGCTGTAGGTTAATGTGCCTGACTGCAAAGCCATTTGAACTGCAAGGTTGGCGGTTCAAGCACACTAGCTGTTCCTCGGAAGCCCTCAACAGGGTCGCTATGGGTCGGAATTGACTCAATGGCACTTCACAACAACAACCACCACCACTTCTGTATAACATGTTAAAGTTGTGATTAAATCATTGTTTTCTTAATTGTTTAACATCTGCTTTCTCTACTAGAATAACTGACTCCAGCGGGCAGAGGTACTGTGTGTGTATTTTTTCCAGTGCCTAAAACCAAAAAAAAAAAAAGTCCACTGCCATCAGGTTGATTCTGACTCATCCATCCTGTGTAGGGTTTCCACAGCTTTAAATCTGTAAAGCCTTAGAGAATTTTTTTTTCTTTAAAGACAGCCTCATCTTTCTCCCGAGGAGCAACTGGTGGGTTTGAACTGCTGACCTTGTGGTTAGTAGCCCAGTGCTGTGCTAAAACAGAGAAGATGTTGAGTGAAGAATTTACCAGAGGCCTGAATGTGGCAAGCCCATTAGATGATGCATATTTCTGCCAGGACCTATCCCTATTCCTGTCTGCTTTCTACTCCCATGGAAGCCTCTTATTCTAGTATCTGATGCGGACAGATTCATCCTATTTGGCTGCCAATCATGAAAAGTTTAGTATTGGGGACTCATTTTTAGACTTTGTAATGCAATTCTTTCCCTTTTTTAAAACATTATTTTTTTTTTTTTCAAATTATAAAGGCAATAAAATTGGCTTTGTTTCAAAACAGAAGCACAAAGGAAAAAATGTTTCCCTAAAATAAAGTCATTATAGTACATTTCTGTCTAGTTGTATTTTTTATTTCTCTTTTCTTCATAAAATTGAAATCATATAGATTATAAAGATTTTTGTTGTTGCTTTTGCTTTGTAATGCCATATCCTTTGATGTCTTAATGTATCAGATATTCTCTTTTTATCATGTAAATGTTGTCCTTCACCTATTTTTTTGTATTAATAATTTACCTTTATTGGCTAAAATATTTATTATAGTGTTAGGAAGCAATACCTTTTCCACAGTGGCTTCTTCTTAGCAATTTTGCTTTTTATCTGCATCCTTCTGATAAAATTGAGTTTTGCAAGTTTCAACATATTTCTCCACTGCACTGTGCATTGTTGAGCTCTGCAAAGTTGATTTCCTTCATTAATAGATATTTACCGTTTGGGGGGACAACTTTATTTCATTTATTTTTATCATTGTAAAATATAGATAACACAACATTTGCCATGTGTGCAATTCAGTGGCACCAATTGCATCAAGAAACTGTGGAGTGCTTCATTAGCAAATTTGCATGTCATCCCTGGGGCCGGGCTAATCTATTGTTCCAGTTTTCAGTACGTGTGCTACGGAAGCAAGCACCGGATTATAGAGTTTTTAGAACGTTTTTTTCTTATAGAACTGAATCATCAACATTAACTACCTCATTGAAGTTGCCTGAAAAAGAGCTTTAATGACTACAAATGTTTTAATGTGTGTATGCATAATAGTGGAGTCCTGATGTAGTGTTGCGGGTTAATGCACTGGAATGCAAAGTCATTTTGAACCATAAGGTTGGCTGTTCAAGCTCACCAGCTGCAACTCGGAAACCCTATACAGGGTCACTGTGAGTCAGAACCAATTCAACAGCACTTAACAGCAACATGTATAATAGTGCCAGCTAGTCCCCGTTCCTGAATATTTGACTTATTTATGATTTCTCATTATTATGAATAAGGTTGGACTACATGCTGTAATATCCGGGCCTTTTTTATTGGTCAGGGCAGATTCTATGGTACATCTTTTGTCTGTTTGCTGTATTCTTACTGAAATCAAATGTTTATTGTTCAGTTGTTACAGCTCAGCACACCTTTCTTCCTTTCAGGAAAATCTCTGAAGGAAATGGAGCAGCCATTATCATCACTAGGAATACAAAGTGGATGCCGGGTCATGTTAATTGGGAAAAAGGTAAATTGCCATCTACCTGAATTCCTTAGAATCAAATGGCTGAGGTCTTTTACATATATTTTTATTTAATAGGCCAAATTAAGGGTCTGTGTTGTGCTAGTAAAACGTTTGTTCGATGGGGTTACCTGTTTCGTTTTTTAAGGCCCTCCCTCTGTGGTGCTGACTATAAAATAACATTTGTCTTGGTGTGGTTAAAGAATGGTGCCTGAGATAGGGCTTACTCACCTGGAGCAGTATTTGAAAAAGCATTATGTTAAAAGAAACATATAGAGTTTGAAAATAAGCGCCCTGTGCAAGTTTCAGGAGCCTTCCGACCTTTACCCACCCTTCTTATTGATCTTTTACAAGAAAACCCTTGGCTAGAAGGACTTTCAGACTAAAGAACTAAAGGAGAAAAAGAGTCAGCCTTGAATGAGGTCGTTTGATGACAGCTGGAGGCAGTCGCTCCTGAGGTGATGCAAGAGGGGGATGGCAAATACTACATTGTAACATGTAGAATTGTTGGTCATATGAAGTCCCTGGATTTTGATTGAGCTGGATGGTTCTGAGTGGAGAGAGGACAGAGATTAGCAAAGTGGGAGCAAAGAAAATCTAGTCCAGGCTTGGAACCACCAGGGGACTGGGACTCAGGATTTGAAGTGAACAATTTGCGATAGTATAGTAAAGCAGGAAGCTGCTGGCCCTGGCTACCATTTATCTGTGTGAGAGAAGAGAAAGTGTTGGTCATAGAATGGTGATGGACAATGGGCAGAACCCAAGGGTTGAGTTTGAAGAAGCTGTAAGTCCCCCAGTTGAATCTCTCTTTGAAATGTGGAGGCAAGTCTGAATTCAAGAATGAACTCCATCTCTTTGGGACTTTGTGATCTTACATTACTTTACTACATTAAACCTTATTTTCATTATCCATTGAACAACTCCTGCCTTATAAGGTATGGTAAGGATTAAAAAAATACTGGTAAAGTGTTTAGAATAGTGCCTGGCATATAAGGAGTCTTAATGTGAGCATTCATCATTGTATTAAATGGTACTGCTGGGTTGAAGGGTGACATTTCAGAACTCCATTGAAAGGAGTAGTAGAATTCTACCCATCTTGCTGTTCTGAACATCTCTCAGGTGTTTACTGTAACTTGTTCACCTTCTAAGCTTCACTCTGGCTGTTGGTGATCAGCCTTAGGCTGAGGCTAAATGTGGTACTTGGACTGACTTAATTATTTGAACCCAAGCTATCAGGGCCTTCAGCAGCATGTTTACCTGACACTCCTCTCTAGTCTGGAGTCTTTCTAAATAGAAAACCATAAGGTATATAACTTCCAAGTTTGCTTTTTCCAAAAAACAGCAAAATTGAAACTATTCTTTCTTGGAGAGTAGTTTAGCCCAATTGTGATCACGTTTTTTTCCCCAGTAGCAGCTACTGTTCTTGGTGATTACTGACTTCATTCTATGCTTAAACATTTTAGAACAATCCGGAGGAAGAGGTTGAATTAAAGAAGTTGAAAGATTTGGAGAAAGCTGTAGAGAAGATAGCTGACCAACTGGGAAAGTTGAGTAAAGATTTTGCTGGAATCCAGCAGGTAACTCTCCTCGTGGACTTTGATTTTCTACTTTCTATGGGAACATTTGGAACTCTATAGCTGGGCACTATAATGTGTATACAAAGACAGGCTATCTGGTGAGACTCCCTGGGCTCAGAGCCTGGTTTTATGCTTTCAAACTATTAACTGTGGCCATGTTCCTCTTTTGTAATAGAAATAATGGTGGTACCTTTATAAGGCTGTTGTGAGTATTGAACGATGTCGTGTGAGCCTGCTACAATCTAAGTGCTTTATGGGTGTTAACTATCATTATCAAACTCCAGCCAGTATTCACTCGTGCTCATGGGAGAGCACCTGCTGTGCTGGGGTCATGTATTGTCTGAAATACAAGTCGCTTCTCTCAGTCCAGTCTAGATCAGTGAGTCTAACAAGGTGTAGTATATTCTGTAGATTGCGAGAAGGTCCAAGCTGAGCATGATCTTAGTGAGGGGGTTGGGTATGGTTCACCTTTTCAGTCTCTTGTATTAGAGATGAGTCCAGAAGCCCAGTGAAGATAAGGAACAGCTTGAGACCGTGTATATTTTTTTCACCCTCGTTTTACAATACTAATGGGTATGTATGTGTTTTAATTACAAAAGTGATACATGTTGATTATACAAAAGCTTCACATAGGTAGGCGTTTATATTGTTGTTTTCGTTAAGTAGCATTGAGTCAGTTCTGACTCATAGCCACCCTGGATAGGGTATCTGAGGAGAAACTGGTGGGTTTGAACCACTGACCTGATGGTTCAAACTGACCTTTAGGTCCAGTGCTTATCCTCCAGTGCCACAGCAGGACTCCAGGCACTTATATGGAAAGTAAATATTACTTGTAAAACCCCAACTCAGCAATAGTCATAATTAAAGCCTAGAGCAGATTTTTTTTTTCCATCTTAAAAAATAAAAGTTATGTAATCTCACCAACTGCTCCTCGGAAACCAACTTGACAGCACTTAAGAAAAACAACAAAAATTTATACATTATAAATTATTCTTTTCATTGGATACAAATTTAGCATTGTTCTGTCATTAAAAATGATGGTAATTTTTTAAAGCTTACATAATATGTCATAATATATGAATGCATCGTGGTTTACCTAACCAATTGCTTATTAGTCATCATCTAATGTTACAAATACCAGCCGCTCCGCGGGAGAAAGATGAGGCTTTCTACTCCCGTAAGGATTTACACCCTCGGAAACCCTGTACAGGGTCGCTATGGGTCGGAACCGACTCGACGGCACTTAACAACAACAACAAATGTTACGAATTGGGCTGCTAATCTCAGGGTCAGCAGTTCGAAACTACCAGCTGTTCTGCGGGATAAAGATGAGGCGTTCTGCTCCTGGAAAGATTTACAGCCTAGGAAACCCTGTACAGGGTTGCTATGAGTCGGAACCGACTCCACAGCACATCACAACAATAAATGTTACTTTAGGGAGTCCTGGTGTGGGGCTGTTGGATAAGCATTGGAGTACTAATTATGAGATTGGTGGTTCAAACCCACCAGCCACTTCTTGGAAGTCCTACTCAGGGTTACTATAAATCAGAAATAACAGTGATATTTTGTCGTTATGCTTAATGCTTCTTTGAATATCCTTGAACATAAATCTGGTTTTGACTGTTTCTGATTCTTTTTGTAAAATAAATGATTTGAGTTTGAATTACTGGATAATATTTAAAGTTTTTGCTACATGTTAGCCAATCTGCATTCAAACTTTGATAAATATCCCAAGATATCCCTACTGTCCACCTCTTCTCACCAGTTATATTTCTTTTGTTACTGTTGAGAATGTACACAACAAAACATACACCTGTTCAGCAGTTTAATTCAGTGACATTGATTATATTCTTAAAAGTGTACCACCATTCTCTCCCTCATTTATGAGTTGTCCCTTCTCCATTAACATTGACTCACGAATCTCTAAGTCTTACCTTTTGAGCTGCTGTTGTCAGTTTGATGCCATATGGATAATTTTTGATAGAGCATAATGCTCAAGGCAGACATTTTTTATTAAGCTAAACTATGGTTTGGTTTTAAGAACACCCCAGGGAATATTTTTGGTTTAAGACTAAAAGATTGTCTCAGGGCAATAGTTCCAGAGGTTTAGGTACTGCCATTTTTTAGTATTAAGCCTATTAATTATGTATTAATTATATTGGAATCCTGGTGTGGTACTGGGATGAAGCATTTGTCTTCAAGATCTATTTGAAATACAAGGTAGCAGTTTAAACTCACCAGCCGCTCCTTGGTAATCCTATATAGGGTCATATGAGTTGGAACCAACTCAACGGCACTTAACAACTATTATGTTAAGAATTATGTTTGCATATATTCTCCTTATTCTCACAGTAAGCCCACAGAGGTATGGATGTCATAATCTCCATTTTACAAATGAGGACACTAAGGTGCAACTAGGTTAAGTAACTTGTTCAAGATTGCAAGCCAGTGAATGGCAGTCAGGATGCACACACAGACCTCTCAGACTTGTAATGCCTGTGCTCTACAACTACCTCTTTTGTGTGAATAATCACTCATGACTCAGGACTTCGCTGGAGTCAGGTCTTGGAAGGCCTTTACATCCTCAGTGGGCCACAGGCCTCAGAGGAGCTGTACGCCCAAGCCAGTTGATCTGTTGTTTTCAAGAGATCAAGTACTGGGTACTGAAGTCTGGCATAGTCAAGGGAATAGTGAACTTGGGATGTGGCAACTTCTTCAGTTCCATAGCTTGGGGTTTTCCATTAGCCTCAAGGAACCCTTGTAGTAATGCATTATTTCTCCATAGGGTTTTCTGGCCAAGGATTTGCAAGCTGAAGCTCTCTGCAAACTTGATAAGAGAGTAAAAGCAACAATAGAGCAGTTTATGAAGATCTTGGAGGAGATCGACACTCTGGTAAGTGAATACTCAGTGGAGCAGAATCTAATTTTCTATGCCTGAATTTCAGGCAGTCTCTCTATCTCAGTAATACACTTCTGTGGCCCTGAGAGAAGTCATTAACCTGAGACTACGGAACATCCGGAGTCCTGCTATGGCACTGGATTGCAAACCACATAGAGTGGCTGCAGGTTAGCACAGTGCTTGGGCTAGCTCAAGCCAGCTGATCTCTTGTTTTTTCCAGGAGATCAAGTTCTGGTTACTGAGGTGTGGCACAGTCGGGGCTGGTGAACTTGGCATGTGGCAGCTTCATCAGTTTCACGGCTTCGGGGTTTTCCATTAGCCTCAAGGAACCCTTGTAGTAATGTGTAATTTCTTCATAGGATTCAAACCCACCAGCCACACCTCAGGAACCTCATACAGGGTCACTATGAGTTGGAACTGACTCAGTGGCACTTGTTAACAACAACTAAGCACCTCTTATGTGCTAGACATTGTACTAGCTCCTGGGTGAATACACAGAAAATATTAGACAGCCCCTGATTTCTAGACACTCATATCCCTACCAACATAGGGCTTTCCCCATTTATATTTATGTCTGTTCATAGTATCTGTGGAATCCTGATGTGGCGCTGTGGGTTAATGCACTGGACTGCAGAGTCAGTTTGAACCACAAAGTCAGCGGTTTAAGCTCACCTGTCACTCCTCAGAAAGCCCATACAGGGTCACTATGGGTAGGAACTAATTCGACAGCACTTAACAACAACAACAATAGTATCTGGAATCCTCATGAAGCTGGGGCCCATGTTGTCCACACTTTCTTAGGGTCAAAGAAATACAGGGTTTCCTGTCTCCTGATATTCGTGTGCTGGTACTTTACTAAACTACCCCTGCACAGAATTCAGTCAGACCTGATCCTGTGAGTCTGTTGAGTATTACTGGCACCATGTACTACTTCATAGATGATAACAATGAAACCTCTAGCCTGAGGCCTTATTGTTGAGGGTAAACTCTGTTCTTGGGATTTTGTGAGGAGTAAAGCTGCAGTGAGCTCCTAGTCTGGCCAGAGCATCCTATCCATACATAGAAAACACGACAGTTTGTGTTGCAGGTCAGTTTCTATGGCCCCGGTGCTGAGAACTAAGGGAAGCATGTATAGGGGATAGAGCCATGGGAAGAGCTATTGTAGGATACAGACCCAGGCACTGCTTCTGAAAATCTGCATATCTCATTCACATGGCTGACCTGTGTAGTGCACTGTGGGTGTTTCTAGCATTTTGTCATTTCATGTTCACTGAGGATTGTTTATGTGTTGTTATTCCTTCATAGATTCTGCCAGAAAATTTCAAAGACAGTAGACTGAAAAGGAAGGGCTTGGTGACAAAGGTTCAGGTGAGTTGTGGACAGAATATTACAAAGTGTGATGTGTTGGGGTGTGTCTGTGTGAGTGTATTTATTTGTTCAAGTTAGGGGTAATGTAAAAGTGGAGTGTGTAGTGTGGACATTTTTATTGATTGTGGTTTATTTCTCAGCATGAACCCAAAACATCAGAGAAGAGTTTCTTCCATGTGTCTCTAATTATATTTGAATTTAAACTATTTAGGGAGGAAGATTACTAGTGACGAGGTAGGACTGACACGTTACAGTTTTAAGAGTTAATGTTCCTGTAGAATACAATGTGTCCTCAGAAGTTGGGCAGTTGTAGTGGCCTGTAGAGCTCTGGTGTGGCGCTGTAGGATAAGCACTGGACTAGTAACCACAAGGTTGGTAGTTCAAACCCACCAGACACTTGTGGAAACCCTATATAGGGTTACCATGAGTAGAAACCAGCTCAACAACACACAACAGCAGTGACCCTGAGGCAGGGCTTCCTGTCATCACATTTTTGGGATCGGTCAGCCTTGAGCATTATCAGAGCTCTGGTCCTAAGTTCCCCTCCAGCTCCCTCTCCTTCCCTTGAATCCTAGGCACCTGTCTCCCTCCCTACACTGCTTGTTTTGAATCAGTCACACCTGGGTTCTCCAAAATGGCTGCACAGAGAACTTTGTGTGGGCTAGCCCTGATGGGCCCTCACTGCCCCATATTTGTTTTTCTAGGCGTTCCTAGCTGAGTGTGACACAGTGGAGCAGAACATTTGCCAGGAGACAGAACGGCTACAGTCCACAAACTTGGCCCTGGCAGACTGAGGTGAGGCAGAGGGGTACCAACTGCTCTGCCGTCTCCTGACGAAATTACTTGATTTCTCCCAGCCTGGTGGGGACAACCGGCCAACTGCCAGTTTTCCTACTCCTGGACCTGTTTTTAATGAAAAAGTATTGTCTTTGCAAACTTAAGTAGAGCCCCTGTCTCTTCCCATTCTGCTTCTTTGGGCTTTGCTGTCTAAGAGTCTACCTTTTCTGTCAGTGTTTTCCCAGCTCTTTTGACCGTTGGGTGCTTTCTTTGGGCTAAGGGAGTTCTCATTTGTCCTGGGATAATTCACATTTTCAGGGCCCCTGGTTTTCACATAGATTAGGGCTTTTTTGGTGCATGTGATTCTCTAATCCCATAGATGTACAACCCAAATCACCAAGAGATTGCTTCTGGTCAGGAGTGTTGGGAATGGCCCAGAACAGCTGTCTGGCACACATGTAGTCCAAATATCCTTCATTATGACTAATTCCCAAACAACTGTCTGGGTTATAGGTTCACAAACCCTGTCCTCACTCCCCAGTGGCCCTGGGTGAGGCCTGTGGTTGGTGCATGGACTTCCTTTGTCCCCTAGCAAATCTCCAGAAGATTAGAACTAGGTGTTGATTTAGTCTCTACTTGAAGCCAGATCAGAACCATGGCAGAGGAAGGTCAGAGAAGGGAGCAAGAGTAGGTAAAACAGGCACATGGTAAAACTAACCATAAACTCAGGAATGACATGAACTTCCTTCCGAGACATTTCTGTTAACTTCTGTGTCCTGGGATCTGTATTTCTTTCAAGACTGTTCCTGCCCATTTTGTGACCTTTCCCCGTTATTAAAAAAAAAACAAAAACAGAAACAATCAACCAGGAGAAGAGTGTTTAAACTTTCCTTGTTTCCATTTGATGAGGTGTTAGGAAAGTTTTCTCTGGTACTAGTTGGAAATTATGTTTAATAAAGTCCTAAGTGTTCTTGGGGACTGGAACTCTGATCCGCTGCCATCATCCCCTCCCTTAGCATGGTGCCCAGGACACAGGCTCCTGATGGACCACTGAGGCAGACCTCATTTGGCAGAGTGGTATTCTCGGAAGCCCCAGGAATTTAAGACTGGATGGGTGGGACCTAAGACATGATTGTAGAAGGGATGGACTAGTGGCTGAGCTTTAATTGGTGGTTCGATACTTATCTGTTCTTATATGCAGTGAAATTTGTGGACACAGAAACTCAGCGGGTCTGCCTTGTTTTTCCAGGTCTCCCAAGTTTTCCGCCTTTGACAGGGTGCAGCCTTAACATTTTCATGTCACTCATTTTAATGGAAAATATTTGAGTTTTCCTTCTCTGTTGGGTTTCCACCTTACACACGTTCCAGCTTTTCTAGGTTTTTCATACTGATTGTTTAGTGGGACATGGTTCTAAGTTCTTGATATGTATCACCCCTTAAATCTGCATACAATCTAGGAGGTTGACAGATTGGTAGAGTAGGTACTCAATAAATAAATAGCTGGAAAATGAATAGTGATATAACCATATATGCACCTAGTCAGTGCTAGCATTTATAGCATCAGTGACCATTATCCAAGGGTTGGAAGAAGAGGTCTAAGGCATGACCTGCTGGGCAGATAGATGTGCCAGGTGGTGACTGGGGCCTGGCACACAGAGCCCACCATACAGAACTGTTAATCTCAGGAGATCTCTGCCTGTCAACAGCTGCTCACTTTTCTGGGATACGATCAGCTCTGTCCCAAAGGAATGAAAAGGGATCCCTGTGATTCTAGAAACAGATCCTTTATCTTCACTGAGTTGGAGAAAATCTAGGAAGTCAGTGATTCCTAGTTCTCCTTTAAGACACAGCTTAAAGGTTACCTCCTCTAAGAAGCCTCCTTCATAAAGTAGCCAGGACTGTTAGCTGAAAGTGCCAGAAAACAATTACAAAGGGATGAGCCAAAATAGAACCTTTATTGACAAGATACTGATCATCCCATTTAACTTCAGAATGGTCGAAGACAGCTGAGCTTCAGGAACTCAGACTGCCTAGAATACTTTCCGTATCTCTTTGCATGTCAGAATCATTCCCTGAGTCCTACTTCCACAGAGTAGGAAACATGGCTGCCAGTAGTCCTCAGTCACACAGGTTACAGCTTTTACTGTCTGAGAGGAACTGCCTTTATTTTCTTGTTTCTAATTTGAAAACCCTGAGGAAGAATCTTTTGGCCAATCAGCAATGGCCAGGGAAGCAGGGTCACATGCCATAGATACGGCCTCTAGGGACCTACACAGGTATTAGGGTGGTTCCTAGAAATGGAGCCAGAGTTCCTATATCTATAAAGGGGAGAATTTGGTCTCTTTCTGGCACATTGTTGTTGTTCAGTGCCATTGAGTCGGTTTTGACTCATCACAACCCTGTATAGGGTTTCTGAGGAGCAGCTGGTGAGTTTGAACTGCTGACCTTGGGATTCACACTGACCTTGTGGTCCAGTGCTTATCCTATACCAGGACTCCTTCTGGCACATTATTCAGGTTTAATCTCTGTAGTTCCTCAGCGTATGAGTGGAAGCCTGGGAAAGACATGTCACTAAGTTGTACCACTTGGCGTTATGAGGGGCAGAGATTTTTAGAAGTAACCAATATCGACTTTCTCTTCCTTCTGATTTTTAGCTTAGCACATGTGACCAACCAGCTGAAGACTATGTGTTCCCTTCTTTCTCTGGGCATGGCCATAGGACTGACTTTGAGCCGATTGGATGTAAACTGTGTGTATAATGTTATGGCAGGTGTCTCTGGAATCCACTGGTGTGGCATTGGCCTCACCTCTCTGGGCTGGAATCTAGTAGACATGATGGCGAGCAATGTGCTTAAGACTTTGAGGTGGAAACTGATGAGGATGACAGAGAAACTTTATAAAAAGGCTACGTGGGAGAGAAATGACCTATCTAGCCAGTTGTCAGTTGACTCCAACTCATGGCAGTCCCACGTGTGTCAGAGTAGAACTTCTCCATAGTTGGTTTCCAATGGCTGATTTTTTGGGAAGTAGATTGCTATACTTTTCTTCTGAAATGCCTCTGTGTGGACTTGAACTGCCATCCTTTCAGATGGCAGTCAAGCTCATTAACTGTGTACCACTTAAGGACCCCTCCTACTTTTGTTTTTGGTTTTCTGTCTCTCACAGCCAAACTTATTCCAACTTCATTCATAGGTAGGGCTTGTAGATGATCTCCCACCGCAAATCTATCAGTACTAAGTCTTGTCCAGTGCTCCATTTCAGTGGTCCAGGGAATGTGCCTTTCCTGCCCTGTTCCTCTCAGACCCGGGGGTGTGTGGGTGTGGTATGTGTGTGTGTGTGTGTGATCATTCTGAGCAAAACATCCCACCTGACAAGGCGCATCTCCAAACCTCAGGCCCCGGTCACCATTTTCAAGATGTGCCTCTTACAGACTGGCTGAAAGGGTATATGACATCTACCTCAGATTGGGGTTTCTGTATTATTGTGGGTCATTGTGTGCCATGTATGCCTGGCACTTTTGGATGTTAGAGTGGATGTTGACTGAAAGAGCAGAGTCTGAAAGTCATCCTGCGTGAAGTATTAACCGTAGATACTAGAGTGGGGAGATTTAAGGGTTCCCAGGAAGGATCTAGGTGACCAGAGTACAGGGAGACGTTGAACATCTTGGGGCAGAAGCTGTTAACTATTATAGTTTAGTGTTTAACCAGTAGTTCAGCTGTATCATGTATGCTGTCTGCCTATCAACCACGATTATGTGCATACATGCATGTGCATACATTCACACCTTAGAATACATTCACAACTCAGAAGGAAGTCGTGAAGGGTATGGACCCTTACAAAGGATAAGGTGGAACCACAAGCTCAGGCTCAGGCAATGGACCCAACAGCGGCTAAGGGTGCAGATCTAGTTTAGACTCTTGGTATCCTCAGTAGCCTCATGAATAATCCCTATGATGCCTTTTCTCCACCCCAAGCTTTTTTACAATCCAGCAAAACCTTTGTTCAGGGAGAAGGGAACTAAATGTTGCATTAAGCCCACCCCATCTCCCTTTGGGTTAATATGTCAGACTGCAAAGCCATTTGAACTGCAAGGTCGGTGATTCAAGCTCACCAGCTGCTCCTTGCAAACCCTATACAGGGTCACTATGGGTCGGAATCGACTCGACAATACTTAACAACAACAACGTCTCCCCTTGCAAACCTCTTTCCTATAATAAACCTTTGCTCCTTTGGAAACCCTGCCTTTCCTGACTTCATCAGCAGAAAGCAAGAGCCCTTTCTTGTAGGGCTGAGATTTGATTAGCATTCGGGTGACAAATACTTCCTTCCACCCCCAAGATGGGTTTGACTGCTGACTCAGCCCTACAGGAACTCGGGGTGTTGGCAAGAGACTGTTGGGACTGGGGACATTTCTTAGCGTCCAGAACCAGTTGTTGTCAAGTTGACTCCATTTCATGGTAACCCTTTGTGTGTCAGAGTAAAATTGTACTGCGTACGGTTTTCAATACTGATTTTTGGAAGTAGATTGTCCCACCTTTCTTCTGAGGTGCCTCTGGGTGGACTTGTGCCTCCAACCTTACAGTTAGCAAATGCCCAATTCTAGGACTCCCTGGTACTCTGAGGTCCCTCTTTCTATCCAGAAGTGAGGCTGAGGTCCCAGAGTACAAACAAGGAATGCACCGTACAAATAAATGGCCCCTTTAAGCAAGATAACCAGGATGGTCCTGCGCAGTCGCTCAGCAGCCCTGCTCTGAGCTCAGCCCATTCCCACTCAGAAGGTGGGACTTTGCTTGGTCTGTGCCTTCTGGCAGCCTATGATGATCGTGTCTCTGAGCTGGTTAGCTGTGGCTAGTACTAAGTACATGTTGGAGAGCCCTGACTTCTTCCAGCAGGCAGAAGGACATGTGATGAGTTGGGCACCAGAGGGATCAAGGAACTGAATTCAGTGCAAGATCTCTTCCCCACGCACCTCCCAAACTGTCCAAAGACACTAGGCCAACTTAGCTGGTTGGGCTGGCATTTAATTTAATGTTGCATACATCATCACCATCGCTTGCCAAGCTGAGGCTTCATGCTTTTGAGGGCCTTCTGTGGAGGGTCAGCATTTGCTATCCTTGGTGATCTGGATGTCCTGTTTGGTTTTCCTAGGATCATGGGAGACAGTGATGAGACCTCCTTCTCATGCTCTGTCTCCAGCCACAATCTCTCCTGAACTCGAAGCCTGCTCATGTAATTGCCCATTGTATGTCTCTATTGACATGTCCCAGAGATTTGACAGATAACGAACCATCATCACCCCCAAAACCTGCTACGCCCCTCATTTTCCCAAGCTCTATACATGGCACCACCAGTCTCCTTCCATCAGCCCTCACAGCCAGTCCCACACCAAGCCTCTCCTGCAGTGTATCTATCTCCCAACGGAGTATTAGGATCTTTTTCTAAGGACAGTATCCCGCTGCTCTCCTACACATCTTTCTAGAGCTTTGCAGCTTCCAAGGACTTCTCTTTTGTGATCTCATTTAACTCTCAGGCTGGTTCCAAGGACTCTGAGAACAAATAGGTGATTAGATGTACCAAGATTACCTTTGGCCCTGCTTACCTCTTTAGACTCATTGCTAACCTCTCCCCTAAACTTTATGCTCCAGCAGATTGATCCAAATGCAAACTTTGTTCCCTTCTAGACTCTCTTTTCTCTGCTTGTTCCCTGGTTCCTCCTTGTTTTCCTGGCTAATTCCTTGTGTAAGCTCAGGTGTCTCCTCCTGCAGGAAGTCTTCCGGTTCTTGCCTCTTCCCTGCTCCTGTGGCATCCTGCGTACCTCCTAAGCATTTAGTGTTCTCTGCTGTAATTGACCATCAGCCTGACTTTCTGTGTAGACTGAGTTCCAGGAGGCCTGTGATACCATCTGACTTTTTTGCCCTATTATGTCCTCAGTGCCTACCAACATAGCAAGCTCTCAACAAATCAAATGAGGTCACCTACTCGGAGGAGAATTAAGGGTTTTTGTCCCCACCCCATTGCCCACCAACTTGTAGCTTTCTGCTTGGAACCAGGGCCTTCTTTGAATTAGATTTGTATTCATATTATTAGGGGCAAATGTTGGTGGACTCTTCTCAGTGTGATGGGAGAAACAGGTCAAGTCTTGCTCCCTCCAGGCCTATATGCTCTAGAGATGAGACCCATCAAAAGGCCAAGGGGAAAGTGGGCAGGGAAGTGGGACATGGTGGACTTACAACCGGGCCAAACAGAGCTGGCATTCACTGTCATATGTGACCCCGTTAGTGCCGCAGACTGGGTTGAGTGTCGGGGGACAGTCTGGAGACTCTGCCATGTGCTCACAGACAGGCTGTGGAGGAGAAGGAGAGAAGGCACTCAGGAATTTAAAGAGAGATGTGGGGGAGGAACCCAAGGGCTCTGGTTGGAACAAAGGACCTTAGTGGAATTCCGATCCAAATTTAAGGAGCCCCCAGTGTGAGTCCTACTCTCCCCGCCCTTAAGCCTGCTACAAAGTAGATTCTGACTCACAGCAACCCTAAAGAACAGAGTAGAATGCTCCTTAGGGTTTCAGAGACTGTAAACCTTTACAGAGCAGCCAGTCTCGTCTTTCTCCTGAGGAACAGCTGGGGAGTTTCAACCCTTAACCCACAGCACTTAACCCACTGCTCCACCAGGGCACTAACCACTCTGGCCCTTGGCATGTTTGCTTATGTGTGTGTGTGTGTGTGTGTGTGCCCTTGTCTCTGGGTGTGCATTTGAGTGTGTACCTATGCCTGCTGACCCTGGGTATATATATGTATATACTTAGATATGTGTGGGAGGTGAGTTTGTGTCCTCAAGCTTCTGGGGACAGGTTCACACACACTCAGAGGCTCTAACTGGAACCAAAAAGAACTTGGGAGACAGGAGCTCCTCACTTTGGCCTGCAGGAAGCTTGTACAGTGTGGGGAGGCCTGGAGAAATGGGGCAGGGCTTAGGGCTGAATTGAGTCTCAGTCTAAAAGGGTTTCAGACGAGGCCTGAGGTCAGGGTTGGAATTGGGCCAGCACTGGGCTTGTGGCCTGGGCTGGGATAGGGGTGAGGGAGGCAGTGCAGTGTGGCAGTGAAGACCCCAAACCCAAGACACCTGCATTCTGCCTTCTGCCACTGACTAGCTGTGTTGGATGAGCTATTTCAGCTCTCTGGGTCTCACTTTCCTCATCTGTGAAAACTGTACATACTAAATAGTGTGTGCCTCACATAGGGTTAATTGAAATAATGCATGTAAAGTAGTTTACTGTGTCTCGTGCAGAGTAAGTAGGGCTGATGGCTCAGATGTTAAGGGTGCTGGATGGGAAGAGGAGGTTGAGGGTATTACTGGGGAACATAGACCCAGAACTAAGGTGGAGTCAGGGTGTAGAGAGACAACTTGGTGTCCGTGTGCTGAGGGAGGAGGTGGGTTGTGAGGCATGGTTGCGGCCAGGTAGCACATACCACGGGCCACTCAGTATACCATAGGTACCTCTCGGCCTGAGCATGTGACCTGCCATCTGCATTGTGCAAAGCAGGGAGCATTCTCTGTCCCCCTAATGCTGGAAAGGGGGCCCACTGTTGGAAAGGGCCTCCAAGGACAGCTTGGGGCAGATCTGGGGCCCATGCAGGCTCAGGAGGCCACACTGGGGCCACATTACAGCCACCTGAGATACCCGAGCAGGGGCATGGAGAAGAGAAATGCTTGCTTCCCAGCATGTATGACAGGGCTCTGCCAGAGTGGAGTCCTGAGCCCAGAACTACAAGCGACTGCCTGCCTTACCATTCTTGAGAAAATGACCCTTTCTGCCGACACTGGCACTTCTGAAAGACAAAAGAAGTAAGAATTAGATCACTTAGTCCTAGGGTTCAGGGTCTGAGGACTGCTACTTCTGTTTCAGTGGGCCTGGCCCAGCCACTACCCAGTCAGAAATTCCTCTAGGAAAGGTAATGAGACACCAGGCAAAGAGCTGCCAGAAAGACTTTGGGTTACATGAAGAGACACAGAAGGTCTAGAATGAAGGAAGTTCCTCGTCAATCAGATCTCACTGGGTGTGTTTGTGTTTCATATAATCATTTTTAAATGCCGGTTATTTCAGCAACTACTGTTTGCCAGGCACTGAGGATGCATGATCTGAACAGCTCGCCACATCCTTCTTACAGCTATGTAATGGAGGAAGGGTGGGTGGCAATAATAAATGCTGAGCTCTGCTGCTCAGATCCTACCTGCAGGGCTGGGGCACTCATTTATTTCCCCAGCTGCCCAGAGTATGGATGGCTCACAGCTGAGTCCCTCTCTGCACATTCCTCTCCGAGAACCAGCTGCCCATATCCAATGACGGCTCAATGTGAGTTTAAAGAACCAACTCCACTTGTCTTTATTCAAAAGAATGCAGAGGGAGCACGTCAACTCCAGAGCTCCCTGTAGGATCATCTGAGACCTCTGATGACTGCAGACAGGATGAGGGGAACTGGGACCAAACTCTGCTATGTAAGCCTGGCATTGGGGCATCAAATGCAAATCTAGCCTTGCCTTACTGATCATCAAAACTTTTTTTAATGGAACGTGCTGGATGTCTCTAATTTTGTTCAGATAACTGTGGAACCTGGAAAAGCTGTTGCTGCTGTTGGTCTTTTATATAAGTAAGTAAATAAATAAATTTATATATACACACATATATATACACACACATATATATACACACACATATATAATTTGAATTTTGGGAAATTTTAGCTGTGCTGTCAACTTTGAAAAAAGTATCCCAGTTGTCCATGTTGAGTTGGCATTATACAGAAATTAACAGCCATATTGGTCTAGAAATGTTAAGCTTAATTTTCCCCCCCATTTGTACAGGGTTAACACATTGTATTTAATATGTAAGGTCTTATCTATGTGGATTTGATTACAGAAACTAATAAAGTATTTTCTAAATAATGAAAAACAAAAACAGAAAAAAACCCTGCCAAGACTAAAAATGACCCAAATATCCCTCAACAGAATGAATAAACTGATACATCCATACCATGGGACTACGACTCAGCAGTAAAAAGAAGCAAATAGCTGATCCATAGAAGAACATGAGTAAATCTCAAACTTATTCTGAGCCCCTCAAAAAACAAACCCCCCAAAATAGACACCAGACACTACTGTATGGATCCATTTATGTAAAACCTTGGAATAGGATAAGCTAATGTGAGGGAAACAGTGGTTGTCTTGGAATGGGGATTGACTGCTTTTGTTAGGTGCCATTGAGTCGGTACCGCCTCATAGTGACCTTATGCACAGCAGAACCAAACTGCCTGAACCTGGGCCAATGGGGATTGACTAGGATGAGCAAAACTTCTGGAGTGATAGAAATGTTCTGTATCCTGATAGGGTTTGGGTTACGCATGTGTATGCGTTTGCCAAAACTAATTGAATGATGTACTCAAGATCTGTGCATTTCAAGTTGGAGATAGAAATACCGTGGTGGTGGTGGTGTGCCGTGGAGTTGGTTCCTACTCATAGCGACTCTGGATAGGGTTTCTGAGGCTGTAAATGTTTAGGAGAGCAAAAAGCCTCATCTTTATCCAGCTGAGCACTTGTTAGTTTCTAACTGCCAACTTTGAGGTCAGCAGCCTGACTTGTAATTACTACGCTACCAGAACTCCTTAGCATATGACCCAGCAATCCCTCAGCATGGTGTATATCTTCAAGAAGTAAGAGTGATGACACAAATATATGCAAACCTATGTTCATTACAGCACTATTCACAATAGCAAAAAGATTTGTACATTTCCTGGCATCTGTTAGAAATGAATCCCGGTGTCGCACAAAAAGACAGACTAAATTACCTCGGCAAGGCAAAATTTATTTCTGCAGAAGGGTGCATGCACACCGAGCGGGCAGTCCACTCGGGTTTTTAACCCTGACACAAGTCTTAAGGTTGTGTCCCACCCCATTGGCAAGAGTTTAGACCTACAGTTTTTTCCCTTACCCAGTTGGCTAATTGAAATTTCTAAGGTGCGCATTCTTCTTACTTCAGCAAGTAGCAAAAAGTAAAAGAAAGGTCCTATAGTCCCTACTCTAAGGATCTCTGGTAGTGTAAGGGTTACAAGTTGGACTGCTAACCACAAGGTCAGCAGTTTGAAACTACCAATGGTTCCGCGAGAGAAAGATGAGGCATTCTGCTCCCGTAAAGATGTATAGCCTTGGAAACCCTGTGCAGGGTCGCTATGAGTCGGAACCGACTCCACAGTACCTAACAACAACAGTCCTACTCACTTCAGGAAGTAGTGAAAAATAAAAGAAAGATCATAAAGTCCCTACTCACGCTTCAGGAAGTAAAAAAAGAAAAAGGTCACCCGAATACAAAAAACAGGATCGTTACTGCGAACTGCAAGGTCAGCGGTTCAAAACTACCAGCTGCTCTGTGGAAGAAAGATGAGGCTTTCTGCTCCTGTAAAGCTTTACAGCCTCGGAAACCCTGTTCAGGGTCGCTATGTGTCGGAACCGATTTGATGGCACTTAACAACAACAACAACATAATTTTGAAGAACAGACACTCATTTCCACATAACTGCTAGGGGTAAAAAGTTCTTAGAAAATATTAAGCCCTACATGCCTTCCCATATGATCACTAAGCTTCTTAATCTTATGCTTAGGGCCCTGCATGACTTTACCCTGAACTTGCTAGGCTCCCTTTCTAGTGTGCTGCTCCATGTCCTCTCAGCCCTAGCTAGTCTCTGCTCACTAGTCCCTAAATCGGCCCAACTTTGGGACATGCTGTTTCCCCTGCCTGGGTGTCCTCACCTGATTTCTTCTGTTGGGTCATACCCTCCATTAAGATGCCACCTCTTGGTAAAGGACTCCCTGGTGTCCCCCAGGCCTCCTGAGAGGGCCTGAAAATTGCTGCCTTTCATGCACCACATGCTGTCCCCCTCACTGGTTGCCTCTGCTTCCCCATGACCCTAGATCCTTAACCCCACTGACTCCTGTTTGATGCCCTGCACACAGCAAGTGCTCACAAGTTGACCTCTAAATGGCATTGTGGGAGGGTCTCAGGACCCATTTTCTTGCTGGTGGATGTGGGAAGAAGTTGTATTTACCAGCAGGCTGACAAACAGCTGCCCTCAACATTGGCCGGTTGTGGTTCTCACTCAGCTTGGGCAGGAATCTGAAATGGGCACAAGAACTGACCCCTTCAGTGACCTGTATAGGACAACTGCTAGGAAGAAGTGGGCTATGCCTGCCTGGAGCTTGCAGACCTGTTCTCTATTGTTCCTAGCAGGAGAAATGGATGCAGGACCAGCCGTGAGATCAGTGACCTTGGGGTCCTAACTGATTTCCCTATTTCCTCCTTCAGTCTGTTGTCAACGTAGCAAGAGAAGCAATTCTTTCAACACCTAACTCTGCTCAAAACCCTCCAGTGGCTCCTATTTCACTCAGGAAAAGAGTCAAGTTCTCACAACCTTACCTAATATGGTTCCCTGTGACCTCTTATCTTCTTACACATTACTCTGCACCTGTCCTCACTCCTCTGTAGCCTCACTGGCCTTGCAGTACCTGAAATACTGCAGGCATGCTCCTGCCTCAGGGCCTTTGCACTAATTCTTCCCTCTCCCTGAAATGCTTATCTCCTAGATTCCCACATGGCTCATCCCCTCATCTTCAAGCTTTGCTCAAACATCAGCCCCTCAGAGATAGCCTCCCCTGATAATTCAGGGGATTTCAAATTGCAACCTCCTCATTACCCTGCTCAACATGATTTCCTAAGACTTTATAATACAGTAGGTGCGAGACTACAGAAGGGGACCTCTGGGGGAGCCCCACACCAGCTGCATGTGCCCAGCCCAGGGTTAAAGCTCTTACAGGCTCCCACAGCTGTTCTCCATCGCAACCATAGCCTTTCAGAGCAGAAAGGGCAGCTCAGAGGACCCAGGCCAGGCCTCTGAGCAGCACACACCATCCTACAGCCAGCAACAGTCCGTCTTCCATGAGGGATGGGGGTGTCTCTAACATCTAGCCCAGTGCTGTTCACTGCAGCCTTGAACTGAACAACCGCCCACTTGACCAGTACATAAACTGAGGCCCCTTTTAAACTTCTGAGCCAGTCAGACACTGAACCCGGGTGTTGTTTCTCCCAGGACTTTGCCCACTACAGTGGAGGGTGTGTGTGCAGAATGAAGGTGGGCACCGAGTACTGTACAGGATGTGCCAGGCCTCAGCTCCCATCCCCACGCTCACCTAGCATCATAAGACACAGAAAGTCCAGGCTGTGCCCACTCACCTCTGTCCACAATGACAAGGGCAGCCACGGCCAGGGTGACCACCCACAGGCGGATGGCCATGCTGATGCTGGGCCTGAACTAGCCTAAACTTGGGCTGGGAGTGGAAAGGGGGCCTATTTATATTGCTGGCTCCCTACGCTTATCTTATCTGGGGCCAGTTTTAGAGGCTGGGAGTGCCACCCGGAGTTAATGTCTGCACCCTTGTATCCGGAAAGGGCTTGCTCCACACAGAGATGCTGAGTTCCTGGTGATGGAGGGCTGGAGCTGCCAACTGGCTCTTCCTAGGGAGGTTGTTTGTGTGTGGGTAGATTTCAGGAATGAAGTAAAATTTACGCAGCTTGCAAAGCTAACTCCAGTCTGATGGCTGGAGCAAGAGGGAAATGGGAATTAGAGAGAGAGAAGAAAGAAGCTGAATAGAAAGAAAGGGGACAAAAAAAAAGCAGCAATTGGAAGACAGCATGAAAGGGGCTGGTGTCATGGCTCCACCAACCAACTTTATGATCTCAGAAAAGCCTCAGTTTACCCATCCACAAAATGGGGTGCTCATTCTGGCTCTGCCTCTCAGCACTGATGTGAGGACAGAAGTGGTGAGAGTAGAGGGGATAACATTTTGCAGAGTATGAAATATGGTGTAAATGTAAATAGAAATGATATTTTCAATTTTGTTTTGTTTTGTATGATTGCTAGAAGGGCATCCCTCAAAAGGCAAAATAAACATTTTGAAGGACAATGTCTTCATGCTTTGCAAGTAGTATCTGTACATTTGCATTTTAATGAGTTAAAAATGGACAAGATTGTTTTCAAGAAAAGTCAGTATCAAAAACTTCCCCATACTTGTATAATACAATAAACCAAAACAAACCCACAAACCTGCTGCAAATCAACTCCAATTCAGCAATTCCATAGGACACAGTAGAACGACCCCATAGGGTTTCCTAGGCTATAAATGTTTACAAAAGCAGACCGTCTGTCTTTCACCTGCAGAACGCCTGGTGGATTCAAACTGGTTAGCAGGCCAACGTCCAACCCACTGTGCTACCAGGAACCCTTACTTATACGTTGTTAAGTACCATCAAGTTGATGCTGATTCATAGCGGCTCTGTATAGCGTTTGTGAGGAGTGGTTGGTGAGTTTGAACCGCCGACCTTGTGGTTCAAACCGAACTTGTGGTCCAGTGCTTTATCCTACAGTGCCACATCAGGGAGCTTCAAAAAGTTAATTGAAATGTGAAATTAAAAGATAATGGAATTTTTCAATGTACATTTTGAAGCTCTCTTAGATAGTGTTAGAAGCTTTTGAGTCGATGTCAACTCATAGTGAGCCTTTGTCCACTGGTCCTTCGCTATCCTCATAATTGTTTGAGTTCATTGTTATAGTCACTATGTCCATCCACCTCACTGAGAGTCTGCTCTTTTTCACTGACCCTCTACTGTAAGGAAGACTAAAGAGTTGATGCATTTAAATTATGGTCTTGTCAAAGAATATTGAATCTACCATGGATCTCCAGAAGAATGAACGAATCTGTGCTGGAAGAAGTACAGCTAGAGTACTACTTAGAAGCCAGGATGGCAAGACTTTTTCTCACGTACTTTGGACACGTTATCAGGAGGGACCAGACCCTTGAGAAGGACATCATGCTTGGCATTCATTGTCCAACTTTCACATGCCTATGAGGCAATTGAAAATACCATGGCTGGGGTTAGGTTCCCTTAGTCCTCAAAGTGACATCTTAACTCTAACACTTTCAAGAGATCTTTAGCAGAAAATTTGCCCAATGTAATACATCATTTGATTTCTTGACTGCTGCTTCCATGGGCATTAATTGTGAATACAACTAAGAAGAAATCCTTGACAACTTCAATCTTTTCTCTGCATATCATGATGTCATTTATTGGTCCAGTTATAAGGATTTTTGTTTTCTTTATGTTGAGGTATAATCCATACTGAAAGGTTGTAGTCTTTGATCTTCATCAATAAGTATTTCAAGTCTTCACTTTCAGCAAGCAAGGTTGTGTTATCTGCATGTGGCCTTCCTCCAATCTTGATGCCACATTCTTCTTCATATAGTCCAGTTTCTTGGATTATTTGCTCATCATACAGATTGAATAAGTATGGTGAAAGGATATAACCTTGATGTGCATTTTTCTTGATTTTAAACCATTCAGTAGTTCCTTGCTCTGTTCAAATGACTGCCTCTTGGTCTACGTACAGGTTCCACGTGAACACAATGAATTGTTCTGGAATTCCCATTCTTCGCAATGTTATTCATAGTTCGTTACGATGCACACAGTCAAATGCCTTTGCATAGTCAATAAAACACAAGTAAACAGCTTTCTGGTATCCTCCGCTTTCAACCATGTTCCATCTGATGTCAGCAATGATATTCCTCATTCCATGTACTTTTCTGAATCCAGCTTAAATTTCTGGCTGCTCCTTGTTAGTGTACTGCTGTAACCATTTTTGAATTATCTTCAGCAAAATTTAACTTGTGTGTGCTATTAATGATATTGTTTTGTAATTTCCACATTCTTTTGGGTTACCTTTCTTTGGAATGGGCACAAATGTGGATCTCTTCCAGTAGGTAGGACAGGCAGCTGTCTTCCAAATTTCTTGACATAGATGAGTGAGTGCCTCCAGCACTGCATCAGTTTGTTACAACATTTTGATTTGTATTTTGTCAATTCCTGGAACCTTGTTACTGAAACAATTGTTGTTGTTGTTGAGTGCCTTCAGTTGGTTCTGACTCATAGTGACAAGTGTATACAAATGGATAATTTAGTTAGTGACTTTTGAAGAATTACTTATTTACAAAAAGTATTACAAAATGTTACTTATGTATGTTGTTGTTAAATGCCACTGAGTTGAATTTAGCCCATAATATCCCTATAGGGCTTTCTAGACTGTAATCTTTACAATAGCAGATCCAGTTCTTTCTCTTGCAGAGCTGCTGGATGAGTTTGAATCATCAACGTTTTTGGTTAGTAGCCAAGTGCTTAACTGTTGTGTTACCAGGCCTCCACTTATATATACATGTCTCTAGTTATTTAAATTGTACCTGCAAATTAGATTTCCTTGGGGGAAATGAGAAAATATAGATTTTTGGCCTCACTCCAAAACATCTTAGATAAAAATTTCAGGTTTTTTTTTTTTTTGCTGTTGTTAATTTTTTATTGTGAAAGATTTCAAGCCTACATAAAAGTTGCTGGAATAATACAATGAGGCAACAAGAGTTTCTTGTTCAAGAACTGTCCTGTAGGGAACACCGGGCAGCCAGATGGAGTCATCTTTATGGATCTAGATCTGACCCCTAATCTCCCCAGAAACCTGCACTACCTCTCTGGCAGATGGTATCTATCCTTCCGTTGCTTAGCCAAGCAGAGCAAATATTTAGCAATGATGTCCCATCCTAAAACAAGAACCTCACCTTAGAAAGGGAGGGGGAACTTCAAGGATGTATGGGTCCTGGCTCCCTGCCCTCCTTCTTATAGCAGCCCCACCACGAAGTTATTCATTTCCACATCATTGTTGTTAAAGAGATTCCTTCCTCACATAAGAGGTCTGCTTCCCTGAGACTCCTTGGGGTCCCAGCTCTGTCTCTGACCTCTTGCACCTGCAGGAGGAGTAGAACCAGTTTCCCCTGCTGTCCCCCACTTTTGCACATGATGATGAAACTCCTGGGCTTCTCCTGTCTCTGGTCTGTCCTCAGGTCTGTTTGTCTGAGGTACAGTGAGAGACACAGAGGAGAAAAGGGACTCGCTACCTGCCTTGTTTGGGACTGTAGGCCTCCGTCAATGTGGCAGGAGTGGCTGCTGATGGCTCCAGCTGCTGTAAGAGACCAGGAAGCTGAAGGTTGCACCCTTCAAAGTCCAGAGTAAAATCTTGGGTAGTCTGGGGTATTGATATACCTTACATCCTATCCTGCCCAAGGTTTCTTTTCTCAAACACTTAGATTCACTCATAATAATAAAGTTCCTGGATTGCCCCACTAAAGGGTGAGTCTGACTATATCCAATTGCTTTTGGACAACGCCATTATAAGTGCCAGTGCATCCAAATCAATCCCACTTCTGAAGCCACCATTCATTCATTCAACAAGTGGTCAAGGAGCAACTAAGTGCTAAGCTCCATTCTTAGTGTTTGGTTATGGCAGGAAATAAGTCAAACAGAATTCCAGCCCTCAAGAAACTTGTGGTGAAGTGGGGTGACTGGTACTAAACAAGCAGCAAGACTGGATTGTTGCCATTGGTTTGAGTCCCATGCCCAGTGCTATGAGATGATCAATGTGGACGGTGAAACAAAACCAAGGGGTGAGTGTGTGGGGAACAGTGTTGTAGGCTAAGAAAACAAAAGGTGAAGGTCCTGAAACAGGAAGAAACTTGGCACATTGGAGGAAGAGGCCAGTGTGGCCAAGTTCACGATAGTGAGGGCCAATGGATGGGTCTGAAACAGTCAGTGGGAACCAGATCATACTCAAGTTCTTTTCCCTGAGTCCATATCCCTCCACCTTCCAGCACTAGAATCCTGGCCACTGACTGTTGACTCTGAGCTGCTTTCCTACTGAGTGGATAGGTTTTACATCCTAAATAGCTCTTGAATTCATTCCTGCCTCTCTGCATCTACCACCATCCTTCAATTCTGGACACCATTTCTCTTCAATCTGGTCATCACATTACTATCCCTACCCACAAGCCCACCTCTCCAGCCACTGTGCACATGGTGTCTGGGTGACTTCCTAAAACGCAAACCTGACCAAGTCACCCCTGCCCAGAACACTAGAGTAGTGCTCACTGCCAACAGGGAAAGGCCCAAGCCCCTTAGCTTGACATTTAAGACCTATCAGCATTTAATCCTGACCTACCTTTACAGCTTCATCTTTGCTCCACCGACTCCAGACCCTAGCATCTCCCATTCTACTGAACACTTTGCACAGTTTTTCTCTGCTTGCAATGCTGGTCTTTCCTTGTCCATCCCCACTCCTCCATTCTATAAGAACCAGCTAAAATCTCCCCCTTTTCTGAACTTTCCTTAACTGCCTTTCTCCAACCTGGGCACCTCCCCACC